GAGTATAAATAGTCTGAGGCCTGGAGCAGAGGGTTTTTTTTCCAGGAAGAGGGGATCCTGACCTGAAGGGCTGATGCACTTATAGGCAGTCCAGCCGTGATTTTCTTTTACAATGAATTTTATTATAGACAACACAACAACAAAGAAACAGTCAAAAGCAAGATCATTGACACAAAAGAATAAGGTGTACAATTCTTCTGATGAGGGACATAACAAATGCACTGAAGTATTGACACGGAGAGAAACGGAGTATATAAACACAATATATAAAAGCATGGAATGAAACCTTATAAATTGCGTTAACAGCAAACAAATAATGACCAATGAGCTAGAAGGCAAAGGCCAAGGATAATCACCAAAATCGCATCCAGAGTGTAGGAAAAGCTGAGCACGATGTCTCACTGGACGCACATTGGTACTCTACACCAAGGACTCTCGAGAAAGTCCGACAGGCATATAAAACATTACAGGCACGATTCTCTAGGAGTATTACAATCAGCACAAGTAACGTGAAGACTTACAAAAACAAAGGAAAGAAAGAGAAAGAAAAGAGAAAAGCGAAGAAGGGAGAAACAAGAATAGTAAATACAAAGAAAGGGCTCCAGGGGATCGCGCCAGGAGAATCTTATATCGACAGGAGGGTCTGGTCAAATCTAGACAGTTGAGCCACATCAATCCAGGGACGCCAGATCTGCAAACATTTTGGGTGGGTGTCTAACAGCATGGTCGTTAGCTTCTCATTAACCATTATAAAATTCATCCTATTCTTAACGGCTTCGAAACTAAGAAGAGGGGTTTTCCAAGCTCTCACGATCGTCAATTTGGTAGCCATAAATAGGTGCGATGCCAGCTGTCGCTCAGGACAGAGTAGGCCTACTAATGGTTCAAATAATAGCACCTCGTATGGGTTGCGCTTAATATCTGTGTGTAGCATAGTGCGGCGATGGGCATAGACCCTAAGCCATAGTCTGCACAACTTGTGGCAAGTCCACCAAATATGAGCCATGGTGCCTATTTGTTGACAGCCCCGAAAGCAGGTTGGAGAATATGAGGTGAAAAAATGAGCGAGCTGGGCAGGCATATAATACCATCTGTAAAGGACCTTGTAGGTATTTTCTAAAATAAAAACATTCCTCAAACATTTAGACAAAGCTTGAGTCATGATCCGCCAACCTGGGGTGTCCTATAAAGAAATAATAGTGGAGTAAACAAGAGAGATCAAGCCTGGTGCATGAGGCCTGTGTCAGAAAAGACTTTCGAAGGGAGTCAGCCCATAGGGTCCCGAATGGGCTCGTAATAATGTAGTAAGAAAGTGACGGAGTTGAAGGTAGCCAAAATGCTCCCTCAACGGGAAGTCAGCCATCACCTGAGGCTGATTGCAGGAGGTGTATTTAAGGAATGGCCAGACCTGCAGTCAGGGCCTTGGTGTATGTTTCCCATGACCTGCATCCTGTCTGCTTCCTGCCTGATCCTGACTGATCCTGACTCTGCTTTGATCCTGACTGAACGAACTCCGCCTGTCCTGACCTCGGCCATTCCTGACCACTCTTCAGCTCGCTCCTGGTACCCTGTTTGCCCGTTTGCTACCGACCCGGCCTGCCCGACTACGTTTGATTTGTATATATGGTTATCTGTTGGAGTTTGGGTTGTTTGCACTGTGTTATGTTTACCTTGCACTGCGTTTGTGTTGTTTAGTCTTAATAAATTGTCTTATTTACACTATACCTGAAGCCTGCGTTTCCCTGTGTCAGTCCACACACCTCTGGTCATACCTGGAGCCCTGAATAGAGAAAAACAAACAGAGGGCGCACCGGACTTGTGCATTACCTTTAAAAGTATGTTAATTAAATATTTTAAAAAAATGTATTCTACTCACAGAGGCTCTGAGGAAGAGGCTAGTCCTCGAAATGCGTCAGTCTTTTGGATGTCCAGAATTCTCATCATAAGACAGACAAGTAGTGTGAATTGGACAGAGGGGTTCCTTCATGATGTGTCTTATATTTATTGTCTATTGTGAGTAGAATAATTTTTTTCTTATATTTAACCCTCCTGGCGGTATTCCTGAGTGTAGCTCGGGGTAAAGTTTCAGCACCACAAGCAGTAACCCCGAGCTACACTCAGGAATACACTGCAGCGTTGCTCCGGGACCTCTTCTGCACTTACCGTGTCCTGCGCTCCCGCGATGTCCCTCCTGCAGTGTCCCCGGCAATGTTCTCCGGCTGATGCCGGCATCTGTCTTCTGGGTTCTGTTTCCCTGCGACGTTGGGGTATACGGGGGACAGAACGGTGGGAAATTTTAAAATGTGAAAAAGTGACATTCACTAAATACACTAAAATCACATAGTATAACATTCCTGTATCAAACCATTTCACATACATTTTGTCCCGAGTGCTTTGTCCGGCGCCCTGCCTGCATTTTTACTGTTCTTTCTGCCTGGAAACTGAGAAACGTCCATGGCGTCCAAAAAGCGTCCCTTTAGGTCAAAAGCGGTTTTAGACCGGCTAGAGAACAGCGATAGTAAATCAGAACCACTTGCAGAATTGAGTGATAATGATTCATGGGGGGAAATTCATCATCAGACACTGAAAACGATTTTGCGACTTTGCTCAGTGATGTGCGAACATGGCACTATATTTCAAATTTCAGTGTTTTTGGTTTGATTATATTATTGAATTAAAATTTTTATTATTATTATATTATTTGTTATGATTATTTATTTAAATTATAATTTATTATTTTGTGTTTCAAATTTTATTATATGTGAATTTTACGGTATCCCTTGAATAATTCAATACAATAAGGCTATAAATAGCATAAAGATACACTTTTCCCCAAAAAGTGTAAAAACTGTGAATATGAATATGCTAATACCAATATTCCCAAAAGTATATAACACACAAATATATAAAAAAAATATATATATATATAAACAGATGTGATAAACGCAAACAACCATGTGTGATCACAAATAGTGAAAAAGCGAAAGTGTCAAAATTCACTGGCACTGTTTTGACACTTTCACTTTTTTCACTATTTGTGATCACGCATGGTTGTTTGCGTTTATCACATCTGTTTCATTTATATTTTATTTAAGATAATGCACTGTGATTTTTCTTTTTATGTTGAGGTTTCTTTGTGAGCCATTGAAAGGCTGAATATGAAGATTGATGATTGAAGTTGGCACAGAGTGACTTTTTATAACATTATTTATTTAATTTTATTTCTTATCTATTTTTGGACTGTTACATTTTTTTTTTAATATATATTTGTGTGATATATACTTTTGGGAATATTGGTATTAGCATATTCATATTCGGAGTGTTTCAAATTTACTAGACTCTTGTTCGGACAGATTTCAGTGAGTTATTCCTAAGAATTACAGGCCTACAATGAAAAAACAACATATTTCCATGCAAAAAAATGTACCGCTTTGAGCACAGAAATACTGACATAATCAGACCGCTAGGGAGTCTAATAAACATACTTTTATGGTCATGCATAAAGCCTGTGCGCCCTCTGTTTGTTTTTCTCTAAACAAATGATAAATGTGCCTGCAGTTCAAAGAATGGCATTGTAGCGAGGAGAGCTTCCTGAATCAAATCCCCAGTGTATGCAGTGGGCCCCTTTCCCCCTTGGGGCCCATGTGCACTGCACCCATTGTACACATAAAGGACACGATGGTGGGTCCAGGCCATCACATCAAAACTGAGATGCAAAAAAACAAAAACTCCGAACAGGTAATCTGATCCATGAATACAATTTGTAGCACATTTTTCAGTTTTGGCTGAACTGTTTTTGTACATTAAAATACATTTCCAGCAATCACATTCTTATTGCCATGTATATACACAAGTCAGGTTAGGCAGTGCATTAAAATTGTATAACCTGCCTCGGTAGAAGCGCCATTCAACCTCCTGTCGATAAAACATTATTTTCTTTTATTCCCATAGTAGCACAAGCATGCAGCAATTTTTTTTTTCACTCATAACATACCCTCAGGGTTTTTCTGATAATGTCACCATACAAAAACAGAGATAACCTAGTACGATGTTCTATGTTTTGTTTTACTAATGCTCCACAAGGACTTTTGATGACAGGACAGGTGGGGATGTGTGTACCGAACCATGCATTGGAAATTACCCAGAATTCTGTGCCACTGACATCTCCAACTTGTCCCGTAGGAAATATACTTTATAATTTATATATACCTTTTATATTCAATATCGAACTGGATATGAATAAAAATTGCTTTTTTTTGTGTTGTGTTTTTTCAAGTGTTTCTGTCATTTACTATCTCCAGCCATTGTGAAATGACCTATTTGCATTAATTGGTTTGGTAGGTTTTAGATTTCTGCAGTAGGGTTGGCCTGCAGTAGGATTTGTCTGTGGTTAGCACAGTGTGGCTGGTCAGCTGTGGAAGGATTAAAGCGTTTATCTCTAGCCAAAATGTTTTTGAAGTTTTAAAATGACTAGGGAAGAATTACCGTATTTTTCACTCCATAAGATGCACTTTTTTCCCCCAAAAAATGGGGGGGAAAATGTCTGTGTGTCTTATGGAGCGGCCAGCCCGGTATTCCTGATGCCGCCTTGTTAGAATACTGGGCTGGCCGCTCGGCTCTTCTGTGCAGCAGAACCTGCTATTCGTTCCTACCTGTTCCTCGGTCCAGCGGTGTCCTCACCGTATTCTCTCCCGACGACGCCGGCATGTTTAGTGTGGGAACCCGACTGTGACAGCTTATGGCTTTACAGCCGGGTGCCCACTGCACATGCGTGAGAAGCTCTGCGCTTTGTGAATGGTCCAGCAGTCTTCTGGGACCTGTCACGTGTCCCAGAAGACAGGGAGGGAGGACAACTGTGCGGAGAGAGCGGGTACCTGTCAAATCCGGGTACACGCCTCCCCCCTCCGCTCCCCAAAGGTCCGCAGTCTCTGGTCATCTCCTGTACTATGTCCGCAGTCTCTGGTCATCTCCTGTACTACGTCTGCAGTCTCTGGTCATCTCCTGTACTGTGTCCGCAGTCTCTGGTCATCTCCTGTACTACGTCTGCAGTTTCTGGTCGTCCCCTGTATTGTGTCCGCAGTCTCTCGTCATCTCCTGTACTATGTCCGCAGTCTCTGGTCATTTCCTGTACTATGTCTGCAGTCTCTGGTCGTTCCCCTGTACTATGTCCGCAGTCTCTGGTCATCTACTGTACTATGTCCGCAGTCTCTGGTCATTTCCTGTACTATGTCTGCAGTCTCTGGTCGTCCCCTGTACTGTGTCCGCAGTAGTCTCTGGTCATCTCCTGTACTGTGTCCGCAGTCTCTGGTCATCTCCTGTACTATGTCCGCAGTCTCTGGTCATCTCCTGTACTGTGTCCGCAGTCTCTGGTCATCTCCTGTACTATGTCCGCAGTCTCTGGTCATTCCTGTACTATGTCCGCAGTCTCTGGTCGTCCCTGTACTATGTCCGCAGTCTCTGGTCATGTCCTAGTCTGTACTATGTCCGCAGTCTCTGGTCATTTCCTGTACTATGTCTGCAGTCTCTGGTCTCCCCTGTACTGTGTCCGCAGTCTCTGGTCATCTCCTGTACTGTGTCCGCAGTCTCTGGTCATCTCCTGTACTATGTCCGCAGTCTCTGGTCATCTCCTGTACTGTGTCCGCAGTCTCTGGTCATCTCCTGTACTATGTCCCGCAGTCATTCTTTACTATGGTCATCTCCTGTACTATGTCCGCAGTCTTCCTGGTCTCTGGCAGTCTGGTCATCCCTGTACTGTGTCCTCAGTCTCTGGTCATCTCCTGTACTGTGTCTGCAGTCTCTGGTCATCTCCTGTACTATGTCCGCAGTCTCTGGTCATTTCCTGTACTGTGTCTGCAGTCTCTGGTCATCTCCTGTACTATGTCGCAGTCTCTGGTCATCTCCTGTACTATGTCCGCAGTCTCTGGTCATCTCCTGTACTATGTCTGCAGTCTTTGTCATCTCCTGTACTATTTGATCAGAAATGGCTTCATATGATCATCAGTCTTCAATAATAGAGCTGTACTTTTTTTGCATGTCATCAGTCATGTATCAATGTCTGCAATCCAAAATTTCCCAATTTCTGCCAGGGTCTATGCGGTCATCTTTTAGCACTACTGTATGTCTGCAGTCTCTGGTCATCTCCTGTACTATGTCTGCAGTCTCTGGATATCTCCTGTACTGTGTCCGCAGTCTCTGGTCATCTCCTGTACTATGTCTGCAGTCTCTGGTCATCTCCTGTACTATGTCTGCAGTCTCTGGTCATCTCCTGTACTGTGTCTGCAGTCTCTGGATATCTCCTGTACTATGTCTGCAGTCTCTGGTCATATCTCCTGTACTATTGTCCGCAGTCTCTGGTCATCTCCTGTACTATGTCCGCAGTCTCTGGATATCTCCTGTACTATGTGTCTGCAGTCTCTGGTCATCTCCTGTACTGTGTCCGCAGTCTCTGGTCATCTCCTGTACTATGTCTGCAGTCTCTGGTCATCTCCCTGTACTATGTCCGCAGTCTCTGGTCATCTCCTGTACTATGTCCGCAGTCTCTGGTCATCTCCTGTACTATGTCCGCAGTCTCTGGTCATCTCCTGTACTATGTTTGATAGAAGAAAATGGGTCATATCCCTGATATGTCTCAGTCATTCTCTGGTTATGTCAGTCCTGTTCAAGTCAGCTCTGGTCATCTCCTGTACTATGTCCGCAGTCTCTGGTCATTTCATCTGTACTATGTCTGCAGTCTCTGTTTCTCCCCTGTACTGTGTCCGCAGTCTTTTAGTCATCTCCTGTACTGTCTCGCAGTCTCTGGTCATTTCCTGTACTATGTCTGCAGTCTCTGGTCATCTCCTGTACTGTGTCCGCAGTCTCTGGTCATCTCCTGTACTGTGTCCGCAGTCTCTGGTCATCTCCTGTACTGTGTCCGCAGTCTCTGGTCATCTCTACTGTACTGTGTCCGCAGTCTCTGGTCATCTCCTGTACTGTGTCCGCAGTCTCTGGTCATCTTCCTGTACTATGTCTGCAGTCTCTGGTCATCTCCTGTACTGTGTCCGCAGTCTCTGGTCGTCTCCTGTACTGTTGTCCGCAGTCTCTGGTCATCTCCTGTACTGTGTCCGCAGTCTCTGGTCGTCTCCTGTACTGTGTCCGCAGTCTTCTGGTCATCTCCTGTACTGTGTCCGCAGTCTCTGGTCATCTCCTGTACTGTGTCCGCAGTCTCTGGTCATCTCCTGTACTGTGTCCGCAGTCTATGGTCATCTCCTGTACTATGTCCGCAGTCTCTGGTCATCTCCTGTACTGTGTCCGCAGTCTCCTGGTCATCTCCTGTATGTCCGGTCTCTGCAGTCTCTGGTCATCTCCTGTACTGTGTCTGCAGTCTCTGGTCATCTCCTGTACTGTGTCTGCAGTCTTTAGTCATCTCCTGTACTATGTCTGCAGTCCATTGGTTCAGAATATTTTTTTTCTTGTTTTCCTCCTCTAAAACCTAGGTGCGTTTTATGGAGCGCATCTCATGGGGCCCCCTACTGACCCCGGGCCTGCCTCCTTCATGCATTAGGCAGTTTTTGCTATTAGGCACTGTGCTACTTTAACTGGTAATTGCGCAGTCACACAACACTGTATCCAAATTAAAATTTTATTGTTTTTTTTTTTTTGCCAAATAAATAGAGCTTTCTTTTGGTGGTGTTTGATCACCACTGTTTTTTTTTTTTTTTTTACTAAATAACTGAAAGAAATACTAAACAATTTGAAAAAAAAAAATTGATATTTTCTACTAGCTATCTAAAAAAATCAAATTTCTTCATAAATTTAGGCCAAAATGTATTTTGCTGCATGTCTTTGCTAAAAAAAATCCCAATAAGTATACAGTATATTGTCTGTTTTTTTTTAAAGTTGCTTGAGGTGATTGTAGCCGTATTAGTGCATTTGCGACAGAAACAATTGAGTACTTGACCTGATACTTTTTTTATTTGCACTAACATACAATTTTGAGGACAAGCTTTTGCGGTATGTCCCCTTCTTCAAGTCCAGGCAGTACTATTAAAAAATCACAAAGTTTAAGCAGAATGTTATAAGGGATAAAATAAAAAAACGCTACAGATAAGATACAGCAAAAGGAGGGGGGGAGGGGGGGATACTACACTCACACAGAGGGGGTAAAGCTAGCTAATTGTCATAAAGCTGGTTGGATAATGAGTGAGGAATCCATGTCCAAATTAAGGCCGTTATCTCACTTGTGTCAAATAGAATTATCATTCACACCTCCACAAGGACGCAACCCAAACTGGACACCTATAGTTGATAGCTTCAGACTGCGAGCTACATCCCTGCTATCCACCCAGCAAAAGAAAATTCTGTCCAATCTTTCACCACTAGAGCGAAGGGCTATACACGATTTGCGCTATAATCAGGCCATCACCATCAAACCAGCGGATAAAGGGGGAGCAGTTGTTGTGATTGGATACAAACAAATACATACAAGAAGGCCAGAGGCAGCTGGGAAAATGCCATTTACTATAAAAAACTGGATTATGATCCGACCCAGGACTTTACAAAGCAATTAAAAGGTTCATCCATTAAAACACTTCCAGCCCACCTACATTCAGAACTTATAAATGCGATTCCCCGGATCATCCAGAAATCGGGGAAACTTCTACATGCTGCCCAAAGTCCACAAGCCAGGAAATCCAGGCAGACCCATCATATACAGGTAAGGAATACACTCACCGAACAAATCTCACGGCTTTGTAGAAGAAATTTTAAAATCGTTAGTCAAGAATACTGCTAGTTTCCTGTAAGACACAACTAACTTTCTGAACAAGATCGACAACATACAGCAATTACCATCAAATACACTTCTAGTGACTATGGATGTAGTATCCCCTGTATAGTAATATCCCTCACAAGGATGGATTAGCTGCATGTCCACAGATCCTTATCATCCTCACCAAACCATAAATACACTGCTGAAGGATGTTACACAGCTCATTGAATTCATACTTACACACAACTACTTTGCTTTCAATAAAGACATCTATCTTCAATGTAATGGGTACTGCGATGGGAAGTAAAATGGCACCCCAATATGCAAATTTATTTATGACTGACCCGTGGAGGAACAATTCCTGAACAGCATGGAACAAAAAACCATACAGATACTATCGCTATGTATTGATGATATTTTCATCATATGGACAGAAGGTGGAAGAAAACTCTAAAACAATTTTACTCATTGATCAACACTTTTCATCAAACTAAAAATGGAATACTCAAACACACACATCAACTTCCTAGACACCACAGTATACATTCGGGGATGATACGCTTCACAACCACCAATATACAGGAAATCCACCGACAGATGCAACTACCTCCACAGTTCTAGCTATCCACCCCCAACACACGAAACGTAATTTTTTGCCATTGGTTGGTGGGGGTGCCGTTCTTGGGGGGGTTGTGTGGTTGTGCGTGGTGTGGGAATATGGTTCTGACCCAAGAGACAGAGAGATACACATCTCGGGACACCAAAAATTCAATGCCTATCAAAAAGTGTCAGACCACTCAAGAAGGGAGGCTTCAATATCTCCGGATCAATAACAGCCTTGCACCTCCAGAAATTTTGTGTACCTTATCCCAGTGCAGAAAATGCAGCAAAGGATCTTATGTTGGCGAAACAGGACAGAAGTTGCAAACAAGGATGAATTTTGCACAGACACATTACCATTGTGATTGGATCTTGTAAAATGCCTATTCTGTTTTCTGTTTAAAATATACAATTTTATACATATTTACTTTTTATACTTTTTTTTTATTTCCTAAATATATGTGTTGTGAGTATTTATATATCAAATATTTTGTCTGCTGGGGCTTTTGCAGTCCTCTCTTAAACTTGTTTTGCTCAGAGGCGATGCTCTCAACCCCTCCCTTCGCAACTGAAAGGACCCTTTACTTAGACTTGGGAATGTGAGAGGAGTGAAAAAGATATAACGGGAATGAGAAGCAAGCCATCAAGTTTCTACATTTCTCCTATATTTTCAACCAAGCAAAATGTGCACTTTTAGAAGTGTGACAGTATATACGTAATAGTGATGGTATCTATTGTTTTTATGTATAAAAAGGTTAAGCCCCCCCTGAAATAAAGAGTGATGTGAAGGGGGTTTTGTTTGGACAGTTGTCCTTTTTTAATTATTTTCCGGCGTCCCAGCAATCCAACTAAAATTGGGGAGCCAGCAAAAAATTTCCCCTGACCCCGATTGTGGTTTCCCCCAAACCCTTTTTTTTAGCGGGCGCCCAGGGGGGGCCCCGGGTTTTCGATGCGGAAGACCCGCGAGGGACGAGCGGGCTGATGGGACAGAAAAAAAGGGCCGGAAACCCCTAATTTTGGTGGTATTTTTTTAAATTACCACTGTGGATTTGTTTTGACCAGTTGG